CATACCCGACTGGCCAAGAATCGAAGCCGTTGCTGAGTTTAGACTACGTACCGGACACGATTGCTTGGCAAAACATCTTCACAGATTGGGAGTATACACTCAACCCACATGCCCTCTATGTAACCTACATGAGGAAATGGAGAAGACCCACCTGATTCGGTGTCTAGCTCTAAAGACAAGGACGGAAAGCCAAAGATATTGGGAAGCAAGAAGACTGCTAATGAACTGCTATTAATGAACTGCTATAAATGTACCCCCCCCCCCTCTCTTGGGGGGAAGCTGAAGTCAAAGATTAAGGGCTAATGATAAATATCATAAAGCCTGCCATTTGAAATAATAATAATAATAATAATTTAGCTATCGTATGCTTTTAGTTTACACAACTCTTAAAGGCACAAAATTGAGCTTTCATAGGTAGTATTTGATACATGATTTGCATAACAGTTCTGTTTAATCAAACAATCAATCATCCAGCCAATCAAAATCACCCAATGTCGCATTCAAAATATCATTTGCACATAGAGATGTACAATTTTCAATAAAGCGGTTACAAATATGTGAAAGAGAGTAAGATTTTACGATGCCCATGTTGCGTGGCAACTCGTGGCAGAAGGCAAGTTCCGTTGGAGATGTGAATCATCTAGTGGATTCATGAAAGGTTATTACACCAACTGGCTTCAAGTTGTCTGACGCCAGAAGTAGTTATAAGATGTGAGAGCTTTAGAAGTGGGTGACTGTATCACTCCCATATTTATTTCTGCAAGTCAGACAATCGGTGTGAGCTTGAAGATGAGACATTGTAGTGGTAGAAAATTTTCAACTCAAGAAAACTTTATGCTCAAAAGCTTTTGCAGGCACTTTGAACTCCAGTTTTGAGTCTTTGGGGGGTTACATTGTTCGAGTCAGAGTCTTCGATGCCTTACAAGTAAATTGGCCGATTGACAGTTTCATGCTTAAAAATTGCACTTCCCAACTTCAAAGCGTGCTCTTAACTCGAAAACAACAATTGAATTTATAAAAAAGAACCCTAATCGATCGATTTGGTATTGATATGTGGACAGGAGGTCGTTAAGTGACAACTTGTTAAGAATAATTTTATACATTTAAGCATAGTAATAGATGATTTAACAAAATGAACATCTCAATTTTTAAGAGCACTAAATCTAATCAGCTGGAAATCACTCAATTGGAAACAATAAAGACTTAAAAAAATATCCAAGCAAAAAGAAACTGAATTTTTAAATATAAATTCCATTTTATGGTAAAAAAAGTATTACATAAATTCTGTTTATTAATCAATATATAGTTGACAACAAATAAAACTGCCATAAATTGAACGAAAATTCGAAAATTAATCAATACCGGAAGTACTTAGTTCGAACATCAGCTTATTCCCACTCAACTAATCCCGGATTTCAATTGAGCACACTCATTTTCTTTGTCTGAACTTAAACCTGTGAAGTGCACGAAGCAGCTAAGGCTGACGACAAAAGGAGTCTCGCGCACTCAGGCATTGAGGAAATTGCGATCGGGCTGTCAATCGCATATCATGCGCGCAAAGATTCGCCTACTGGGGTGTGCACATGGTGCACCCTGGGCAACGTATACTCATACGGCAAAAAAAATTATTAAATGGCAGTTGACTTCTCACTTCGAACTACCATTATCCCACTGTATGTCATTTTCGACCACTCTCACAGTACTCATTTTACCTTTTTCTCTACCTTCGTGTCTGTCTCTTTTGCATCTTTAAACCACTCTTCCGTTCCTCCCTATCGACGTTTTTCACTTTGATGTTCCACCTTCCCTTTGTGAAGCCCGTAGTCAACTAAAGGGCTAATGATACCTATCAAAACGCCTGCCATTTGATAAAAATAAAAAAATATTTGGTTTTATAAGAACTGGGAAAATGGTAGAAGTATTTGTCCAGGTATTCCGAAACTGTCGTCATGAGTTGAAGGTTTTGAAGCACATCATTGCTTTATTACAAGATGCTTCAATTATCCTCTTCTTTCGCCAAACCTAAAGCATCTAGAAGTGGTATTGATAAAACCGCCATAACAAGTCCACCTAAAAATCATTTGAATTCGTGCTATTACAGAGTGATTGCTTCTTTTGTCTTTATTCATATGATCACAGGATGGCTTTCAATATACTGTGACTAACTTTTATACTAAATGTGATTAACTTAGTGGATGAATTAATATGATTAATTAACCCATGACCACCAGGAAAATCAAAGGATCTCCCTTGTCATCCCAACTTTTAGCCAATTAAAGGGGAGAATTAGGCCTATATATATAGCGTCTGCCATCAGAGTTGGCATAAAGCTGCCTGAAATAGTTTAACTGGAAGTGAAATGGATGGAAAATTTTGCCTCGGTCTCTTCTACTCCTTTCTATGGGCAATTCTGGTTGTATTTATTGCCTGGCCGTTTGCTGTAATCCTCGCGGTGGTATACATCGTCCTGATTCCCTTCGCTTCCTGCATCGAGAACATTGAACCTAGCCTTGATGGCATGTTTAAGTACTTCAAACTTCCACTGGTATGGGCTAGAAAAGCCATGGAAATGACTCCGATTTATAATTGCAATTTTAGTTGAATAAAACATCCCGTACCCCCTCCAGGGTACTCGAATTCTTCTTCAATCTCCCTGTCGTCCTTCTCTACAATCGCATTGTCTGTAAATTAAACCTCTTTTTCAATCAATAAAAAGATGCTTGCAATGGAGTCCCTTTTTCGCCTTCAATACTACTATCGGAGTTCAGAATTAGGCTTCCGAAAAATTAGAACAATAGAGTTATATCCTAGAGTTCAGGAGGAGTTAGCAACCTTTGTCATTATATCTGGATAGAACAGACATCTAATCAACTAAATGGGGAGTCTGAGTACCGCGCCTGACATCTGCAATCGATCGAGTTTGGAAATGCCACCAAGAATCATAGGCATAAAGTGTAGGGGAGAAAAAATTGGATCATCGTTGAAAATCTTTTGCCTCGAGTATACTTTTTAGCTGAACCTCGTATGAAAGGAGACACGTTTATTTTTTCTTTTGCCAAGAATTTTTTCTACTGTTTCCGTGAGGTTTCCACCAAGTGGAATTGATGAATAAATTTGCTTGCCTCAGCAGATGTGTATGAAAGAAAATGGAAGGTAATCAAGAGCACTAATGGCTTGAAATTCTGGAGTCATCAAATTGCCTCCGTAGCGAATTTGGCCCATCCCAAAATTCATTTGATAAAAACTAACTTTTTACTAATTCATTTGATTCTATAATTATTCACTAGGGGTGTGCGATAGACTTACGTCTACGTGGTGCACCCTGAGCAACGTATACTCATACGGCAAAAAAGTCTGTTAACAGGCAGTTGGCTTCTCACTTCAAGCTACCATCGCCCCACTGTATGCCATATTCCAACACATTCACAGCACTCACCTTTACTATTTCTCTACCTTTGTGTCTGTCCATCTCTTTTGCATCTGTGAATCGCTCTTCTGTTCCCCACACCTCGACTTTCTGCTACTTTGATGAACCTTCCCTCTGTGAAGCCCGAAGTCAGCTAAATGGCTAATGATAGTTATCAAAACGCCTGCCATTTGAAATAAATAAATTAATAATCAGTCACTTTTCACTTACCAATTAAGATACTTTTTCAGTTTTGTGACAGCTAATTCCCAACTACCTTCTTCTACACCAGATTGACTAATCGATGACACTGTAACCACA